CAAGCCGCGGCCACCCTAGGCGGCAGGGCCGTGGGGAGGACCGTGCCTAGGCCTGGGAAGGAGCGCCGGCCCAGCCGTCAGACCGTCCTGCCACCACGGCTCCCCAGCCCCAGTGTCCCCGTCTGCACAATGGGGACGGTAAAGCCTACCTCACACTACGACTTTGAACAGAGGATGAATGCGAGACTAAATGTCCGGATGCTCGGAAACTGCTTGGCCGGCGCTCACTGAACACTGGCTCCCCGTCTCCCTTCCGCAGCTGCCGGAGGCCCCTCACCATCCTCGGGGGTCTTCCGATCCGATCGCCGTCCGGGTCTAAAGCCCGTAGGGAGGGCCTGCCCGCTCCCTGGAGTCCCCGAGCGGCCCTCGGTGGGGAGGGCCCCGCCGGCGGCGCAGGCTTCCCTGCGAAGTGACCTCGGTGCCGCGCCAGTGAGCAGGATGGGGGGCGCGGGGCCCGAGGGAGCCGCCGAACCCGCCCCAACCCGCGGCTTTGCCCGCGCCCACGGTAGCCTGCCCGCCTTCCCCGGGCAGATGCGTTCCTAGGAGACTGCGTACGCGATTCTGGAAAATTCGCTCCTATTGAATTGGTTCTTACATGAACTGCACGGTTATCCGTATTTACTACTGTTCTCATAAAGAAAAAGTTTTTAAATACCAAAACTGAAGATTTAAAAATAAAAATAGTTCCGATTAAGTCCATTGGCAATGGAACCATTATACGCTGATGCAAAGATATTAACCTGCTGGATCTGCTGGACGTGGGCACATGCCTGGACTTCCAATTTCAAGTCCAGGGCTTTAATCACTGACGTCCCACCTTTAGTAAAGGCTCTCAGACACCCAGCAGCCTCCTTGTCCCGGGTACCTGGGAAAATTGGATAAATGGAAGAGGCAGGGAGCATGTTGTGGGTGCTGCCCGCACTCCAGCGCTATCCACCACCAGCTATGACCAAGCCCTTCACCCGAGGCCAGTTTCTTTTCTATGAAAGGGACCTTGATCCCTTCTCACAGTTTCCTTAATTCGTTGTCCAGATAAGGAAACAGCAAGAGAAAAGAAATTCTGTTCTGGAGCTCACATTCTAGGGGGGGGAGAAACAGGTAATTGATATGTAAGAAGGCAGTAAGCACTACTCAAAAAAGGGCAGGCTGTAGAGGGGTATAGGTTGCTAGTAAGGAGATAGGGGTGGAGGGAGGCCACTTAGAAGGGGTTGACGGATGTAAGCCTCATTGAGGAGGTGACATTTGAGACATGAAGTGAGCCTGGGAGCCAAGCAAGCCATGTGGAAGACATTCCACGCCGAGAGAACAGCATTGCAAAGCGCCAGATTAGGAGCATGGCTGGTGCGTTGGGGGAGTAGCAAGAGGTTGGTGTGGCCGAAGCAGAGTGACTGAGGAGGGAAACAACAGGAGAGATCAGAGTAAGAGATGGGGGGAGCTGTGAATGGACAGATGATTGTAAAGATGAAATGAGAGCTGGAGACTGCACCCCCACGCCCACCCCAACATACCCCCAGCAGGAGTTAGGGCCCCAAGCACAGATGATATCCAGGTGAAGTCCCAGAGGCACATTTTTCCAGGCAGAACGTGGGCAGGCAAACAGCACCCTGTCCCACCCCAACCCATCTGGAGATTGATGAAGGGCTCTGTTGCTGCCCATAGGCCCAAAGTTGCTGCTGGGACAGTGCTAACCCCAGAAATGGTGAGCACACTGAGCCCTGGCCCAGCACAATCCCCTGTAATCCCTGTGCCAGGGTAGCCAGCCTCATCACGCTACCAGCTGCAGTGGAGTGGGAGGGCCCTGCTACTATCCTGTAAGACCCAGGCTTTCTCTGGGTGGTTTCCCACAGTTTACCCACCATTGCTGTGGACTCTGGAGTCCTTATGGGGACTTAATTTTTCTCTTACTACTGTGAACAACATTGAACGAGAGCTCAGGCTTCCTAGGGGTTGAATGTCTAAAACAGAGCCACTTAACCCCCAGGGCTTTGCTTTTACAATCTCCAATAAACCCCAATTCCCAGCAATTTAATGCCTATTTGCCCTAAATTGGTAGTTTAGCCTGGAGAACAACAGGATCGGGGTCTTTAGGTTCTAGTGGATCTGAGTTTCCATCCCATATCCCTCACTTTCTAGCCCTGTGACCAAGGGCAGATCAGCCCTCTCCAAACCTCAGCTTCTTTATCTGTGTATCAGGGATAGCAAGAGACCTTTGCCTGTGGGATTCTTGTAAGGATTTGATTGTGTTTGTACAGAAGAGGCCACCACAGGCTGAGCTCAGATGGGGTGACCTGCATTCCCCTAAGACCCTCCTTTCCCATGGAAGCTCTTTTACAAATGAGGTTAAGTTCCCAGGCTAACTCTCCTATGCCTAGTAGCACTCCACATACCGTGGCTATACTGACCACAGAACTAAAGCTGTGCTGATGACTGTGTCCCACATTGTTTCTGGGGCTCTAAATTGGCCACCACCCTGGCCAAGGGAGTTTTGGGGTCCCTGAGCCAAAGGCCATTTTAGGTGGGCACTGATGGGAGACCCACGGTTTTCCACTCTGCCTTTTCACGGCCACTGTTCACCATTACCAGCCATGAGCAAAGTACCTGACAGAACACAGTATCCTACTTAATCTAAAAAACAACTTTCAAAATCTTCTCTCAGGTTTGCAAAGACAAAGGGGCACTGCATGCTTAATTAATGCACTGACTCATCTCACAAGCATTTACTGGGTATAGGCCATGGGCTAGGGCTGAGGGGTGTTCTTGAGTGATCTCTCTCCCAGTTTTGCCATCCATAGCTTCTGACAAATGACCCTCTGAGCCTCAGTTTATCTATAAAATCAGAACAGTACCCTCTCTGTGACATTGTTATGAGATTATGTCTAAATGTGCAGTGTCTGGAAGGCAGGGGTAGGGGAAGCCATCCTCATGTCCATGGGGGGCTAGAAAAGCCAAGTGCCTGTGGCACTGGGAAGAAGCAAGCTGGGTCGATAAGAGGGTAATCTGGAATACTTCATGGAGGACAGAGCCTTTGAGCTGAGCCTAAGGGATGACTCCAGTTCCCACAAGATCCAATTGTGAGGAAGGCATTCCTATAGCAGGCATGGCTCAGCAAGAGTCAAGAAGCCCAAGACACATCCAGGGAAGGGCGAGCAGGGGGAGATGGGAGCCTGACCATGTTTCCAGCACCACCTGGAAATGGCTTGGGGGTCATATGTGCCTTCACAGCCTCCGTTACATAACAGACTTTTCCCAACTCCTTTCAGTCTCAGTTTTGGCCAGGGCAGCCAATTGTTACATACAGGGAAAGCTATGGGGAGGGTGCAGAACCTCAGCACTGGGGCAGGACACTGCTCCCTGGCTGGAGGCCAGCCCATCACCACATCATAATGGTCTGCATAGAAGCCTCAGTGCCAGCAGAGACCAGAGACATGTGCTCTTAGGTCAGGAGCTCCAGATTCTTCCTGGAGGGTGGCAGCCTGCTGGCAGGAGGTGCTACTCTGAGGTTGTCTTGCAGGCAAACACTGACCTGTTTTTGCACGGGCTGAATGTTTGCAGGGGAACTGACTGAGCCCTGTACGATGGTGTACTGACAGGAGGCTGGGGCTCCCAGCCATAGCCTTAACACTAGCCCAGATGCACCTGTGATCCAGTTCCTTCCCTGTCCTGACCTTACATTCCTGATAAAGGGAGAGATCATCTGACCCCTTAGAGACCTTTCCTCCAGCTCTAGGATTCAATACCCAAGACTTGCTTTTTGCTGAAAACAGCTCACCAGATGTAAGCTTCACCTGGCCGGCAGTGCTAGGCAAAGGCCACAAAGCTAGGCCCTAACATAGCCAGACCTTGAAGGGCATCTGGGGAAATCCTAAATTTTAAAGCCTGGGGTAAAAGTTTTCTTGAGACTGCCTAAAAGTTCATAAAAACTGCAAGTAATTTATTAATTGAATTAGGCCAGCAAACAAAAACCTGCCAAGCCTATACAGGAGCCGAAAGGTAACTAAGGAAAACACCTGCACTAGGCCCATTTCAGCTCCTCAGATCAGGGACTCATGCTTCCCCTTTCTCCCAGAGTTTTCAGAAATCAAAAGAATGAAGAAATGACCGATTTCCAGCAAAGAAACAGCATCTGTCCTAAAACCAAGGCATCTGTGCAGATTCCGCTCACAAGGTCAAACCTTTTGAGAGAAGCCATCCATTGGGCCAGCCCGCAGGACCTGGAACCATGAGTACCAGCTTGCTGGGGGTGCTATTGCCCTTTAGTCCAGAGCAAGCTGTGGCACTAAAGCCCACAGCCTCACAAAGGTTGAGGCATTATTTAGAATTAAAAGAACCTTGGAGACTGCAGCCCAGCCCAGCAAGAGGAAAGAGCCATATGTCACCAGGAAGCAGCCCAGAAAACCCTGAGACTGTTCTCCTGACTTTGGCCAGGATCTCAGCAGCACAGAAGCCTCTCTCTTCTCTTACAGAGATTCTCTCCTGGCACACAGGTCTGGGCAGTGCCTTCCCACCCCCCGAATGAGAGCTCTAAGCCCAGAGCCTTTCAACACTGCTACTGACTGAGCTCTCAGAACAATATTAAATGCTCATTTTACCCAGAGTCACTTGGGGTTCCCTAGAGGCTGTGGTCTCCCTCTGAGACCCAATTCCAACTGAAGCCTTTTTTCAGTAAAACTAAGATGTCATTATTTTAAATATTATTAGGTATTCTCACTGGGTGAGATCCATTCACCACATTATCTTAGCTGGTAAAACTGTATTTTTCTTCCAATTTGTCTCTGAAAACACACAACTTCTTTGTCCCTAGTGGAAAACAATTGCCTGCAGGCTCTCTGGCACTCATTTGAGCAGGCTGTCAACAAAAACCTTGTCCATGAAGTACACGGGAAGCAGCCTGTGGAAGAAACTTGCTGTAGGTGGAGACCAGCCACCCACAGACCTGTCCTCTTCTTGCTCACACTCCTGGCAACAAGGGCCCCCACAGCTGCTCTCAAGATAGACCTTCCCCAAGAAGCGCACACTCATTCCAACACTCCAGAACAATTGAGCACTCAAGCTCACACTCCTGGCAACAAGGGCCCCCACAGCTGCTCTCAAGATAGACCTTCCCCAAGAAGTGCACACTCATTCCAACACTCCAGAACAATTGAGCACTCACCAAGGGCCCACAGGGGGTGGGTTCAAGCACCAAGAGTGTAACTTCTTCACCAGTCCCGTGCCCAACTCCCCACCATCCATCATTCATTCATTCTCTTATAAATTCACACATTCAGGGCCAGCCCATGGCTCAATTGGGAGTGCGGTGCTGATAACACCAAAGCCCCGGGTTCGGATCCCTATATAGGAATGGCCGGTTAACTCACTTGGGAGAGCTTGGTGCTGACAACACCAAGTCAATGCTTAAGATCCCCTTACCGTTCATCTTTTAAAAATGAATAAGTAAATAAAGTTCACACATTCATTCACTCCTTCACAGTCACTCATTTTTACATGCTGAGTGTCTACTAGTGATGTCCATGCCACCTCTCACTTTGCTGCCCTCTCTGCAGAGATGACAGGTGGTTGTAAACTGCCCTGCTCCTGGATTCCATCACTTGCTCATCTTATCTTCTCAAGTTCTTCTCAGTCAAGGCCAGAACCACATTGCCTTGGCTCCTCTTCTTTCTTGCCTAGTAGAGCCGCACTCCATACTTGGTGTGAGGGGCTGTTCAGAGAAGAAGGAAGGGTGATGCTGAGAGGATGGGACAAGTGGCTGAAGCAAGGGCCCTTGGGTGAGGGAACCAAGTGAGAGAGAGCCAGGATGTCAGAAGAACAAATGAAAATAGAGGCTCTTATAACCATGCGGCCCTCTGCTATGTCATTTCCAAGCAAAGCCCACCCTCAGTGTG